TCCTTATATACATGTATATTTCTATATACCAAGAAGTATAGTATACATCTTGCAAAGCAGATCTGCACAGCCTCTGCACTCCATTACTGTGCCTGATGAAACAAGACATGTAGTAACTAAAAGCTCCCACCATGCTTAGATTCCACAGAACCCTGGGAACCATATTGAATAATGCCCACCATCCTATGTTACATAGTTTGTATAAAATACTTGGGCATTTACTAATGTAAATTTATAAAAGGTGCGGCCACAAGGCCCAGTCAGCAGTTGTAGTCCAGTTGCTTTACTCATTATACAATTAAATCAAAAGTCTCTAACAGTGGAGTTACAACATCAAATGACAACGTGACAGTGTAGGCCTTTGGTATTAAAAAAAAAAAAAAAAAAATATATGCTCATATAATTCCCAAAAGAGAAACGACAGCCTTTTAAAAAGAATTGTTAGTGTACTCAGCTTGGTGTTCATGTCAGTATAGTTTATAAATATATATGTACATGACAGCAACCATATTTTCCTACTACATCTGTAGGCTCTCCTTTCTGCTCTGTACCATGCACAGTGATTGTTCTTTCAATGCAGTCTATTATGGCATAGATATACACAGAGATTTGCTTGGATTTGAACTGCTAAGAACATCTTACAATAACACGCTTAAAGTGACCCTGTCACTACAGGGTCACAACGAATATAATTCCATCCTGTAAGAAAAGATGCTCAGTACTTACCTTTCCGGTGGTCTGTGTGTAAAAACTGAAGCATGTTGCTGTTCTCTGGCCCCTGCAGGTATCCCACACTTCTGAGTGAGTTAAGTACCTGCTCCACCGATGGATTTGAAAAACTGCTCAGCCAGTCTTATGATAATTACACTCCTCTGTCATACTGCATAGCCACGTAGCTAAAACCCTATTTCTTGTATCAGCTGTACAGCTTCCAGTGCCACTTGCCTGCTCAATGGGCAATTAAAAAAATAAATAACTGACTCAATGTCCACTGACCAGGTGGGTGGTGTAGGAAACAGCAATGCTTTAATAGATGTTTGTAATTTCCCTTGCCTAGATAGTTAGTGCGTCAGACCTGTATGAAATCATATGATTAGCTGAACAGAATTTGGGAGGTAAAACAGTACACATCATATACATGAGTATATGTCCTGGAGTTAAAATTGTAATAATTAATCAGACCAAAACTGCTTATATTTTATTACCAGTGCAATTTATTTATAAATGTGGATATTATAGATTCTTTTTGATCATAAGAAAAAATATTATTTCAGGTTGTCTTAGAAATACCCTGCTTAATTTTACAGGTAACAAAGTAGAGAGGGTGTTATAAAAAGACAAAGCCATAGGAAAGCATGGTCCAGTAGCTTATTGCAGTTTTTATGCAAGGTGCATACAGGTCCTACATATTTGGGGCATACTGCATATCCTAAAGAATTGAATATTCCTAGTGATAGTCCTATGGTCCTGGGTGATATTTTGGGAATTTTCTGTAACAAACCTGTGAAGTTGCAGCTTGGCAAAGACAACATAGGATACCAACTGCGTAAATTAAAATGGACTTAAACCACAAAAGTAAGGATTTCCTGTCTTATAAGGAAATCTAGAAAATGCTAAAATGTGTTCTGAGCAAAACCCCAAAGCAAATGTAGCTTTTGCCCCGATTTCCTCCTAAAAATAGCAGTGCAAATCCTGTGCCTAATGCCCCAAAGCTACATATCTGTAGGGTGAGATCATCTAAGATTCTGCTGCCTCAGATTTCTAGTCACCCGAGATTTGGTGATGTCTCTATTGGGCTGCTCAGTGTTCTGCTTCCTGGAGAGGAAACTGTACCAGAGGATCTGCAATGCAAGGATCTCCCTGATTCTACTTCATTCTTTAACTTTTCCTACTGCTGCTTGATTATTACCCCACCAGTCATCAGAGGGACAGTTCTGACCAAAGCCCTGATTCCCAATCAAGATGGCCACTTACAAGGACACAGATGGATTGTGCAGAACAATGTATGGCAAGTAAGTAATTGGGAACAGATCAGATGTAAGGAATCCACAGACAATACCGGTGACTAGTCCTTTGCCCTCTACTATTATTTTGGGCAGTTTCCAAAGTTCAGGTCCTGTCTAACGTGACAACAAAATTGCAAATAGCAAGGCAAGACCCATGTCCAACAAGCATCATGTTTTGTGCTATATTTAAAGCATATGGAATGCATACTTGCCCTGGATTATGATGAACGTGTCTGAGAAGCAGCATAAGTGGGACAGCACGATCATGGGAGTGTTACAGCATATCAAGAGAGGAGACAAATTTGCTTTGGAGTTACATTGGGAAATTCTAGTAAGTATGCAGGATCCAACAATAGCTAAGTATTGTGGCTCATTGAATACAAAGCCACTTAAAGGCACACAGAAGATTTATTGCTAAAACAGTTTTACATCAGCATGTGTGTTTCTTAAAATAGTGATAAGATGCTAAAAGTTTGCTTTTATGTTTGTGCCTTTTTACTTCCTTGATTACTTAAAATGCCTTTACAGTTACCACATTTGCAAGCATTGCAAACATTTTAGAAAGAGATACTAGTAATACAGTAAATAACGTTTGCTTCATGCAGACCACAAAATAAACATACTTCAAACAGGAAACACAAATTGGACTTAGCAGGACTAATAACAAACCTCTTATGAGGATAGCTGGATATCAAATCAAGCAATTGTTTCTCAGTATGAATAGAAAATATATAAAATTATCCAGTTAGGATAGAATTCAATGACGGTACTTTTTTGTGTTTGTCACACAGAACACCAATACAATGAGTATCTATATTACTGTTGAGATACTCATAGGATACTGTTAATATAATTGTAGTCTCTAATGCTGGTATTAAAAGATTACTACCTTCTACCATGTATGCTGACACTGGGATACAACATTGGAAACATGATACAAACCTACTCATAAATACTGCAATACAGTTGCGGTAAAAAAACATTGTTTGTACTGAACATGATTTAACAATTATGTAGCAAAGATATAAATAAAACTCTCATTCCACTGTAGAAATGAGCATCATGGTGTATCAATAGCATATGGAGTGCCAGAGGTTGCACATTTTGCTTACAGTATACTTGGTTATACAGTAAATACCTCATAGAATGGAAATTAAAGCTAACAATTATCCTTTTCCACAAAAGATGTTAATTTTCAATACAGCCCAAAAAACAATCTGTCAGAGTCCAGCACATTTAATACACACTGCCTTAGAGGGTACCAATTTAGGTTTTCACCCTTTGCTTCAGCTTTAGACAGAAGACCACCAACACCTTTCAGTTTCAAAGAGGAACCTCAACCAAATTCTACCAGCTAACGTCTGACTGCTATAGTCTATTACATAAAATTTAGCCACAATGCCTTTTTGTGCAGATGGAAGCCGTTTTTCCTTTTTATGTAGGAAAATATAAAAAAAAAAAAATGGCTCACATTTAACAATACCAGGGTATAAGGTCATCCACAGATGACACCATTTCTAGAATCCAGATTTTAAATGTAATGAAGGTAGAACAGATGCGCAAATAATGGACATAAATTGTCTTATACATACCGTTTAGGGGTTAAGTGCACTGGGCTCACATATGTGCAATTCTCCTAAACCACATATACAGTCTAATACAGAATAAGTATAACGGTAGTTGTAAACCTGCCAATTTAAATGCCATGTAGCCAAATATCTATAAAAATTACCAAAAAAAAATGCTTTTTTGGGGAAATGTCTCACTTTGAAGACCTCCTAAAAAGGGACACCCTTCCAGAATATCATGTTTTTTTTGTTTTAGGTAAAGGTGTGCGTAATGGTCTTTACCAAGGCCTACCTTCATAAAGATAATGTTGCAATTTCAAAACCCTATATTACCTTCACGTTTGCTGACATTTCAAACTAGATTTAAACTCATTCGCTTCAATAGGCATTTTCTCTGATTAGGTTCACCATGACAATTTGAGGCAGCTAAAATGGCCTTGGCTGGCCATACAGCCTGCACACATTTTTGAAGAATGCTTGGACACATATCAGACCACCACTAAGAAACATACTCACATCCTAGAATTTTGTTGCAGCCCCCCTGTTCTTAGTCTAGGAGGACAGAGATTTACCTAGGATGAGATATATGCCAAAAATGCAATTATAAATTCTGTTGTTACTCCACAAATATCCTATTCATTAACAAGAACAATGACCACTGAGAGTGGGTCTAAGGTTACCAAATCACCATGCCCAATGAAAGTGTTGCAGTAAAAGACATTCCACGTTGTCCCACAGCAACTAACCTTTTCCTCCTTAGCTCTAACAACAGGATGCCAGACAGTTATTTTGCGAAAATTAATTTGTGTAACCAGTTCTAACAACCTGACTGAAGAATGAGCTGTATACATTTCCCCTGTAAAACAGGTTATGGTCATCTTACAAGAAATTGTAAAATAATTTTCTGAAGTATAATCTGCAAGCTATAAAGAGATGCTACTTTGAGCCTTCAAACCCCATAATACTACTGCAGACCAAAACATCTGAAGTTCAAGCCAGAAGAGGTCTCTCCACTATTTCTAGATATTTCATATGCTTCCAAATTCAGAGTTTTGCTCAGAGCTCTTGTATTCTAATGACTAGACCAGACATCAGTGATTAATTGGCACAGTCAGCTATGGCAAATGATGGCAGTTGAGGTCAAAAAGCCAGTTGGTTAGCAGAGACGAAGCAGTGAAGAACCAAAAGAGAAGGCATCCATTTTGTTACTGTGAAGAAAGCAGAGATGGAAAGAAAAGACCAATCAAATGGTTCCAGAAGTCAGGAGCAAACAACTGCTGTACGTTGGAGGCTTCTTCCCAGCAGTAACTTTCAGCCAATACAAAAATAATATGTTGTATTTGTATGAAACATTCAGTGTTAAGCTGGTAAATGGTAGTACTGTGGTGTTTGTTTTTTCTGTGTGATAAAACTGGCACAGAAATCTTCAGACCACATATTGATAAGGGTCTGCTTTTCCCTGGTCTGGAGTGGCGAGGGGGTTAAGCCATGCTATAGAGAACGGATGGCCAAATACTGCTTTCAGATTCATCCATTTTGTTTTTTTAGCCCATCTTCTCTCTTCCTTTTTCAACTGTTCTATTCCCTGGAAACAGAAAGATCACAAACTTTCAGTAATGTGGGTTGGCTATGGTATCATATGTGACAGGACAATACAATGGTATAATCGTGAACTCACAGTTGTCCTGTGGGAACAAGTTAAAAAAAAAAAAAAAAAAGCATAGAATGTGAAAGTTCTGTGGTATTAAGAAATTAATATATCCTACCCACAAGAAAATGTGTATTTTTACAAAAGACAAACTATTATGTGAATCTAGGCCACCAACAGTACAGGTCAGTTAATAAAACACATACACTAAGAATAATAGTTTTCGATTAGAAAATAGAAATGTTAAAGAAGGGATCAAAGTAGTAACAAGTCCCACAGATCAGCGATAAAATACATTTTGTAGTAAAAAAACTTAATAAAGATGTCAACCACATACATTTATATTGGGGTGGCAGGGGCAGAACTACCATCAGAGCAAATGTTACAATGGCACAGTGGTGCTTCAGGAGATATTTATTCCTGATGACTCTCACTTTCCTTTGAAGTAGCAGTTTCAGTTCAAGGAGAACTGGGCAAGTATCCTGGCCCCAGGCTATGTATTCAGCCCATTTTATTGATGTGCAAGCCAAGTGAGACACTTGCATGCCAGGATCCATTCTGAAATACGCAGTATAATGGCAGCTTATGATAGCAATAAAAGACCAGGTTTTCCTTGCAGCCAAAAAAATTGTCAGCTTAAAAAAAAAAAAAAACTGTCTTGGTTGTTTTGGGCAAAAATGTTTCAGTGCCAGACATTTCTACACCTATCTAAAGTATACGTAAAGGCAAAACTTTTTATTTTTTTAGTTTTGGATAGAGTGGAGAGGGATTAGAACACGTTCGTTTTTTACTGCTGTCTGTGCCCCCATTAAGGAAATTCACACTCTCTACTTGTCCTGTTTATCATCATTAAAAGTGAAAGTAAAAGAAAATACCAAATTTTGGGTTGTCCCCAGAAAAGTAATAGAGGGGAAATCTTCCAATGAGGATTTCCTCTCACTTCCTGTTTGGCTATGGGGCAAGAAATGAAGGGAAACCTCCATAATGGGATTGCGAAAAAAAAAAACCTGACAGAATATAACACTCCCTTGCTCTATCCAAAATAATAAAAAAAAAAGGTTTTGCCTTTAGTTCTACTTTAAGTGCACGTGTTATACGCTTAGTGCGAAAAGAAAATTATTTGATTAGAGCGAAAAAAAAAAAAAAAACTTTAGCCTTTAACCTTATCCTCATCCTCAATCAAGTGAACCCATATGTTGCTTATTCAGGATATCCTCTTCAACAGCTTATACTTGCCTTTCTTTTGCTCCGTTGTTAATCCATTTACAGTGAAGGAAATACGTATTTGATCCCCTGCTGATTTTGAATGTTTGCCCACTCACAAAGAAATGATCAGTCTAAAAATCGAATGGTAGGTATATTGTAACACAGAGACAGAATAGCAACAACAAATTCAAAAGAAATGCATGTCTAACAAATTATGCACTGATTTCCATGTTCATTAGGGAAATAAGTATTTGATCTCCTTCACAAAACATGACTTAGTACTTGGTGGCAAATCCCTTGGTGGCAATCGCAGAGGTCAGATGTTTCCTGTAGCTGGCCACCAGGTTTGCACACATCTCAGGAGGGATTTTGGTCCACTTCTCTTGGCGGATCCTCTCCAAGTCATTAAGTTTGGTGGCTGACATTTGGCAACTCGAATTTTCAATCGGATTAAGGTCTGGAGACTGGCTAGGCCACTCCAGGACCTTAATGTGCTTCTTCTTGAGCCACTCCTTTGTTGTCTTGGCCTTGTGTTTTGGGTCATTGTCATGCTGGAACACCCATCCACGACCCATTTTCAATGCCCTGGCTGAGGGAAGAAGGTTCTCACCCAAGATTTGACGGTACATTTCCCTGTCCACCATCCCTTTGATGCGGTGCAGTTGTCCTGTCCCCTTAGCAGAAAAACACCCCCAAAGCAAAATGTTTCCACCACCTTGACAGTTGGGATGGTGTTCTTGGGGTCATAGGCATCATTCCTCCTCCTTCAAGCACGGGGAGTTGAGTTGATGCTAAAGAGATTGATTTTGGTCTCATATGACCACAACACTTTCAACCAGTCATCCTCTGCATCATTCAGATGTTCAGTGGCAAACTTCAGACGGGCCTGGACATGTGCTTTCTTCAGCAGAGGGGCCTTGCAGGCACTGCAAGATTTCAATCCTTGTCGGCGTAGTGTGTTACCAATTTACAAAATCCTCACATGTAGTTCTGGGATTATTCCTCACTGTACTCATGATCGTTGACACTCCACGACGTGAGATCTTGCATGGTGCACCAGACCTAGGGAGACTGACAGTTGTGTGTTTCCTCCATTTGCGAATGATTGCACCAACTGTTGTCACCTTCTCACCAAGCTGCTTGGCGATAGTTTGGTAGCCCAGTCCAGCCTTGTGTATGTCTACAATCTTGTCCCTGATATCCTTGGACAGCTCTTTGGTCTTTGCCATAGTGGAGAGTTTGGAATCTGATTGTTTGATTGCTCCTGTGGGACAGGTGTCTTTTATACAGGTAACAAAATGAGATTTGCAGCACTAACTTTAAGAGACTGCTTCTAATCTCAGCTTGTTACCTGTATGAAAGACACCTGGTAGCCAGAAATCCTTCTGAATGATAGGGGATCAAATACTTATTTCCCTCATGAACATGCAAATCAGTGCATAATTTGTTAGACATGCATTTCTTTTGAATTTTTTGTTGCTATTCTGTCTCTCAGTGTTACAATACACCACCATTCGATTTTTAGACTGATCATTTCTTTGTGAGTGGGCAAACATTCAAAATCAGCAGGGGATCAAATACTTCACTGTACCTATGGAAGTGATTAGCAACCTGAGGACTCTCTACTCACTCCATGTGACAATTCTGGATGCCCAAGTGGCTGATAACAGCGCGGGGAGTAAACCACATATTCTCTATATTTGGATGTACCAGCTATTTTCAATGAATGTCAGTGGTCAAACACAGCAAAGGGGAAATCACCCGTAAGGCGAGTATATGCTGATAAATGGGCAAGCATTAAAGTGAATCTATTGCCCTGCCCTACATGGCAAAGCAAAATTTCAATTTAAGTCTAAACCTATCCTTCATTTTAAGAGGTAAGGCTCAGATTAAAGCTAAACTCTAACACCATCTCTACCTTCAGTGAAAGTTAAATGGTCACAAAGATAATTACCATCATGGTGAATATAGTGGGCAAAAGGTTGTATTACACAGAAAAAAATTAGATAAAAAAAAATTGGGGGCCTGTTTACAATGTGTCAAAATATTGGCACTGGAATCTGAATGAGAAAATGACGACTTGATCACCTGTATTTCTTGTTATCAACTGGTAATGAGGTTCAGTTCGGGAGTCTTTCCTGTTCCGTGTTCTTCCCATCTCCATTTGTTATAAAGCAACCCCATTGTAAAATCCCCCCACTAATATCAATAATGTCCAGGTGGATTCCCCCACAACAGTGTGCAGCTGGAGTTCATCCTGCTTCAGCCTGGTTTCCCTTTTGTATTGTTTCACACTGTACATGTGCGCAACCTTGTCCAAATTCTCCAATTTTACCTGCCTATATCACCAACATGCAGCTGCAAACCCTTCTTCAATTAGGAGACACACATACACAAACAAAAGTAAGATATCTCATGCAAAAGGTGTAGTAGGAGTTACTGCCATCATTTGTAACATTATAAATGCAATACATTTGGTTTGTAAACAGTCTTTCTCCCATAGGCCTGTCTATGCTTTAGCCAAGTCCACCAATAAATTTAATCCCAAGGTAAATTGCTAGGAGCATCCTTAAATTATCCCAATTATTATTTGTCTTTGGCACATCCATAGTGTGGTTCTAATGTCAATGCTCATTTATTCTTCAAATTAATTCAAATGAATAAAAATGCTATACGGAGAACTGTGTTATCCATACCAGTAAGTCTTTCCTGCCTTGTGGTTTTAAAATAACTGTTGCATTTTCAATAGATCCCTTGCTACAGTTGTATATCCAATTGTGTTGCATGAACATTTGCTTCTGTGCACTTCATAATTGTATTTAAAACATCCAGTAATGCAAACCTGGCTATCAGGTTCATGGGATATAATTGCTCTCCTACAAGAGTGGCAATGAACAGGTCTGTCTACAGCACAGTGACGTCCTTCTCATTTTGTGAAAAATCTGCATTAGCATGTGTAAAGCTAAAAGTTTTTTTTATGACAATTAAACAAATGAATGAAATTAGGATACAATAAAATAAAAGATGTCCCATAAAGAAGTGGCTACATGATGCTAACCAACATTCTCAAATGAACAGTCTTATAGCCCATTGCATAGGACCTAAGAAGCTTTGCATTGCTCAGTACACTGAAATGATGCTTAAATCAAATACATCACTTGATTAGATTTGACCATGTAAAACCACCTTACTAAAAAGAGAAAAGCTATACGATGGTAGTAAAGAGTATCTAAAAAAACTGAAAAATGGCTTTAAACAAATATTTTACAACTGGGATTAGCGGACTCAAAGCATGGTAAAAAACAACAAAAAAAAAACAAAACAAAAAAAGAAAGAAAAAAAAAAAAAAAACTTTCCCAAAGCAAACTCTATAATAATGACAAAACTACAACAATGACTAAAAATAATAACACCGCAAAGACTAAAAATAATAAAACAGCATGGGATACAACACCAGAAGATACACTGTTGTCAAAAACATACATTTGCCATAGACACACAGGGTAGAGACCTGTACATGTTATATGCTTCTAATTTTCAGCCTGAGTTTTCTCAGGCACTGAAAAAAGCCAAACTCGGTCTACCTACAAGGGATTATGGGAAAACTATTGTAAAACTTAAAATGTGATTGAATGTGCTTTCTAATCTTATCACAAGGGCATTGATATCTGGACAGCTTCAGTGGTTTGGTAAAGATTTTATGTGTTGTCTTGAGTTCCTAAATGGTTTAACATTTAAAGTAATATTAAATACAAAAGCAAAAAAATAATATTTCACAGTTTACCAATCCTTATGTGATGGCAGCAATAGTTTTCTTTTTTCCTTTATTGTTACCTGGTGATCTGACCAGTAAATCTGTTATTTTTCAATCTGTCCAGCAAAAGTAGCAATTAAATTGTTGAGATAAACTATTTAAAGAAGTGGGGCCAAAGCTCTTTTGGCCCTACTTCTCCTGTGACCCCCCTATTCATCTGGCAGTGGGCTAAAGTCTGCTGTAGGCTAATGTCACTTGGCCAGTCCAGACTCTGGAAATATCCTGAATTTAATGTCGGGATCCACCCAGATGCCCAGTGAGCCATTGAGAGCCTGATCCAGCTGCTCCTGCCCCCTTCACAGCCCATTGCTACAGTGAGCACTGGAGGGGCAGAGCAGAACGCTGGTGACTGAGTGTCTCTCTGCTTACTAAAGACCAAAAACTGAGCCATCAGTGGTCTTTGAATGCTCAGTTCTCGGTCTTCGATGCTGCATCTGTCCCCCGCCGGCTCTGACTGATGCTGCATCCACCTAGGTGAGTAGGTGTGCTTGCTTGCTTTTTTCAATCCCAAACTTCTCTTTAAACACTTAAAATGATCTCTTTTTTGTTTTGGAATAACGGTTTACATGAATGAATAAAAGCTGAACAGTTGCTGTAATATATTAAAAAGTCTTAGCTGGAGTTCAGCTTTAACCTATTTGTCAGGTCCATCTAAATCTGCTAGTATATCTAACACAATCCTCTCCCCCGACCAACAATGCTGCTGTCCAAAGGCATCTCTGTTAATCTTCCAATGGACTGTAACAGCCACCCTAAGACAGGAAAGTGTGTTACTGAATGGATCACTAGATGAAATAAAGGAAAAAGGCCTTAAAAAGAAAAAACTTATGTAGCCGCCACACTTAAGAACTGGTCAGTAGTAATATATCAAATTTTGTTTTGGGTAAAATACTGCTTTAGTGCCAGTTCACAGAGGAATCGCACAGAAACACGCTCCATACTGCTGTGCAATGTGATTTTCAGCACATTCATTTGAATGGTAGTAGAAATTAAATATGCCATGTTGCAAACTAATGCTGCAAATAGACAAACAATGACAAATAAGACCTGCTTTAACAAATGACTACTGGTGATACAATGGCAAGATATATAGCAAACTGGACAAAAAACAAACCAAAAAAAACAGTTCATGTATTGACAGGTATTAAACCCCTAAAAGAGCAATACCTAATGACTAGACTTCATAGACAAAGTAAAAAAAAACAAAACAGTTGAATACTTGCATAAAAGTACTTACCGTTTCATCAGTACATATGGAATGTACCTGTGTCCCAAACATAACAGCAGTGAATATGAGGAAAAGTAGACCCTCAAAACAAAGTAGAATAAGTAGGATGACTGTGGTAGGTGGCGAAAATGAGCTGCACTCTGTAAAAACAAAATAAGAAGCCTGAATAAGTATAGCAATACCCAAGTCGATCTCTAATAGCAAAATCGTTTTTTTTCTTGGGGGGGGGGGGGGGGGGGGGGGGAAGAGAGAATGGAGAAGGGTTACACATCCTATATATATATATATATATATATATATATATATATATATATATATATACACACACACACACACACACACACACACACACACACACACACACACACTTTAAAACAAAAAGGACAGCTTTAAGATTAGGAAGCCATTAAATTTCTACTATGTAGTCTGGAACCATCAACAGAAGAAAACCAGTGTTAACGTCACATTCAGCTTTCCTGGAAATATATATTAAAGTTTAACTGAACTTCCAGTTAAAATTATCTAAACACAGGTGCATCGATACAAATAGGCGTGCAAAGTCTTTTACTTGATTTTCTTTAAAATGCAGCCACAACCTGAGTAGAACAGTTTGTCCCCTGTCAGCATGTTGTTAAAAGAGAAGTATGGGATCCTTTTTTTTTTTTTAAAATCATACTTATCTAGGTGGATGCCGCATTGATGCGATGCTGCAGCTGTCTCCTCCCGGCTCGAAGGCTGAGAACTGAGCGATCAAACACCGCTCGTTCAGTTCTCTTTGCTGCTCTGAGCAGAGAGCAGTCAGTCACTACTCTCTGCTCTGGTCTCCCCCCCCCCCCCCCCCCCCCCCCCACCCCCCCCCCCCCCCACCGCGCCTTGTCACGGGGTACAGTATCAGAAGTTAAGACAACTTATACAGTTTCCAGGAAACCGTCTGATAAGCTTAAGCGCCGCTGACATGGGCAACTGATGAAAGAGGAAGCGGGACACTGAGCAAAATTGTGACCCAGAATAACAAAACTGCTGCAAAAGTGACTGAAGAGCTCAATCTCAGTCTCAACTTGTGACACTTTATGTAAGACTTTCTTAACCTTTTTTTTTTTTTTACCCGGGAGGAACCCTTAAAGTGATTTTTAAAGGCTGAAATTTAAAAAATAATAACAACAACATCATCATGTTATACCTACCTGCTCTGAGCAATGGTTTTGCACAGAACAGCCCCAATCCTCTTCTTATTGGGACCCCCCCACCGGTGTTCCTGACTCCTCCCCCCTGCTGGGTGCCACCTAATAGCAAGCCCACTCCCGAGCGGCTCGGACCCTCCCTCTGCTCTCTCCATATTGGTTCTGATTGACAGCAGCAGGAGCCAATGGCTCCGGCTGCTGTGTGAGCCAATGAGCAGAGAGGGACCCAGTAGAACACATCATTGGATTGAGACAGGGCTCATGTAAGTATTCGCGGGCGGGGGGTGGCCAGAGGGGAAAGCACCCAGAAGGTTTTTTTTTAGCTTAGTACATAGACTTTCTGCCTTTAGAACCACTTTAAACACTAAGGTCTGCAAGACCCCCTAAAACAATTTTCTGAGCTACAGCTTAGGGGAAGCTTAGAGTAATTAGCGAGTTGTAGTTATAATAAGAAATAAAAAGAATACATAATACAATTACTTGCGATTGCTTTGGTGCTAAGTCACAACATTGCTCCAGAGCCCTGCCCCGTATGTTCATAGACACACACAACTTATTTAGTACATGACAAACTACTTTAAAGGGTAACCTGTAACTGCAAAGCTTAAATGCACAATATTGCATAGGATACCAGGAAAAATGACTTGTCTTATCCCTTGCTTCTCCTGCAGATAACCTCTTCTCTCTGACACACTAGGTTGCAAGCAGAACCACTGGTGGCATACAGCTGCAACCAAAAAGAAAAGGCTTTGGGGACTGGTAGCATTGAAGGAGTAGCATTTTTACTGGTACCCTAAGCAGTAATGAGCACTTAACCCTTGTGGGAAGACAATGAATTCTGTCCAATTAATCAAAAAGATTTAATAAAGTCTATGAAAGGGGGGGGGGTGCTGCAACTGAGTTTGCGGGAGGTTTCGGACATGAATGTGCTGTCTGGCAGGAATCCCTGAATCACAAGACTGACTGAAAGACTTATTTCAGCTGTTTATTATTTCTCTGCCATGAGTTTAGCTTTGATGCTAAAACAGAAGAAGATGGTGATCGGTACTAGAGGATATACACATTGGTCCCTAAAAAGAAAATTCCTGAGACACCCAAATTATTTTCTATAAATACCTTAGAATACATCAAAATAAATTTAGAAGTAGCTGTTCCCTACTATTCCCTCTCTCTATTTTAGTATGGTTTTCATTAGTAAATTTATTTCTCAAAGACATTATTATACAGTGTTTATATAGCGCCAAAAAGTTTGCTCAGCACTGTACAATATAGTGGGGGACAGTACATGAGAAAATACAGTAACAAAACAATATACGAGAGGTTCAAGGGCCCTGCTCTTTCGAGCTTACAATCTAGGAGGGAGGGGATAGTGGTACAGGAGGAAGTGGCTGTGGGGGATGGAGTGGTGGGAGGAGTGGAGGAGATCGGCTGTTAGGTGAGGGTGGGGTAGGCTTCCTGAAGAGATGGGTTTTCAGGGTGCGCCTAAAGGTGAGGAGGGTGGGTGACAGTCTGATGGATTGGGGTAGTGAGTTCCAGAGGATGGGGGAAGTCCTGGAGCAGTCCTGAAGTCGGGCGTGGGAGGAGGAGATCAGGGAGCTAGAAAGTAGGAGGTCTTGTGAGGAGCGAAGAGTACGGGTTGGGTGGTATTTGGGTATCAGGTCGGTAAGGTAGTTTGGGGCAGTGTTATGAATGGCTTTGTATGTCAATGTTAGTAGTTTGAATTCAATGCGTTGGGCAATCGGGAGCCAATGGAGGGAATGACAGAGGGGGGTGGCAGATGCGGAGCGGTTGGTAAGGTGGATGAGTCTGGCTGCTGAGTTCAGCATAGACTGAAGCGGGGATAGTCTGTGATGAGGTAGGCCAGTGAAGAGGGAGTTGGAGTAGTCGAGTCGTGAGATAAGGGAGTGAATGAGATGTTCAGCAGTGTCTGGGATTAGGAACGTACGTATTTTGGAGATGTTGCGGAGGTGGAGCCTGCATGAGTTTGCCAGTGATTGGACATGGGGTTGAAAGGACAGATTAGAGTCTAGAGTGACACCTAAGACTTTGGCTTGCGGGGTGGGACTGATGGTGGCGTTGTTGGTTGTGATGGAGGGGGGGGGGGGGGAGGGGGGGTACGGGCTGGGGGGAAAATTAGGAGCTCAGTTTTGGAAAGGTTTCATTTGAGGAAGTGGAGTGACATCCAGTCTGATATGTCATTCAGTAGGCAGGTGATTCGAGCGGAGACTGAAGGGGGGAGGTGAGGGGTGGAGAGATAGATTTGAGTGTCATCGGCATAGAGATGGCAGTTGAAGCCGTGGGAGTGTATCAGTTGGCCAAGGGAGGAGGTATAGATGGAAAAGAGAAGGGGCCCGAGGACAGAGCCTTGGAGGACCCCAACAGAGAGGGGGAGAGAGGGGGAGGGTGGCAGCGTTATAGGTAACGCTGAAGGAGCGTTGGGATAGATAGGAGGAGAGCCAGGAGAGAGCGGAGTCTCTGATGCCAAGGGAGTATAGTTTATTAAGGAGGAGGGGGTGGTCAACTGTGTCGAAGGCCTCGGAGAGGTCGAGGAGTAGGAGGACTGAGTAGTGGCCATTAGCTTTGGCGGTTAGCAGGTCATTAGTGATTTTGAGTAGGGCGGTTTCGAGTGTAGGGAACAGAAGCCAGACTGTAGTGGATCAAGGAAGTTGTTATCATTGAGGTGGGAGCTTAGGCGATTGTAGACTAAGCGCTCAAGGAGTTTGGATGAAAATGGCAGCAGGGAGATGGGTCTAAGGTTGCTCAGGTCGGTGGGGTCCAGGGAGGGTTTTTTGAGTATGGGAGTGATGTGCGCGTGCTTTAGGGGGGAGGGGAATGCGCCAGTAGAGAGGGAGAGATTGAAGATATGGGTGAGGGAGCGTAGGATGGAGGAGGAGGGAGACCGAAGGAGTTGTGTGGGGACAGGGTCAAAGGGGCAAGTGGTGAGGCGGGCTTCTGAGAAGACCTTTGTGACCTCTTCATTGGTAGCAAGGTCGAAGGAGTGGAGTGTTGGGGGGGGAGGTTTAGTGTGCGGGATGTTAGGTGTGGTGGGGGTCAGGGCGGTTGCGAGGTCAGAGGAGGGGAGAGTTGAGGGGGTTATCGTGGTAGGGAGGCTAGGTGGGGAGGTAGATTGAGCATTGGCGATGTCTTTACGGATTGCGTCGATGTGGTTTTGGAAGTGGTTGGCAATCTCGTGGGCGGTGAGTGAGGTACTGGGTGGAGGTTGGGGGGGGGGGGGGGGGGGGGGGGGGGGGGAGAAGAGAGTAGGGAGTTGAAAGTGGAGAAGAGCCGGTGAGGACAGGTGGAGAGGATATTGATGAGGTTTACGAAGTAGGCTTGTTTGTCGGCGTGGAGGGAGGAGGTGTAGGTGAGGAAGGCGGATTTGTAAAGGGTGTGAACGCTTGAGGGGATCTGGTATTGCTCCATAATCGCTCCAGCATGCAACTCCGTCGTTTAAGATTTTTGGTGTGGTCGCTCTGCCAGGGTTGAAGCCAGGGTTGAAGACATGAAATAGCTTGTCCAAAGAAATTTAATAGGATACATAGCCCATGGTACAATCGTCTTTTAATAACATTCTGTCTTCTGCCATCTTAAAATTATCATATCCTTATGTTCCTGGGTTTCCAATATTTTCTTTTTTCTTCAGAATTCTAAACTTATCAAGCCTGTGTACAAACAGTAATGTTTGCTTTTTTAGCAGTTAATGTGGAAGCTTGGTCAAAACCCAGCAAAGCTTAAAAATTGTAGTAAACACCACTCGGGCACTTATAATAAAGCTTACCTGTAGGTACAAGGAATATCCCCTCAACGTGCACCATTTAGGAGATATTCACTGTTTCTGCAGCCGTGACATCACCGACGTATGTGCTCTGAAAGACAGTATGAGGATGCCATACTGATGCTGGCCCTTCAGAGCTCTTTGCCACAGCCATGTGCACGCGCTGGTGCAACATCATTGCGACTCAGCCATTCAAACAGCCTGAGCCCACGAACCCAGAAAGAAAACTAGATGAATACTGAAGCCCTGTCATTGGTGAGAGTGCTGCTGGAGGGCTTTCTTTTAAGGCAAGTCTCATCTGCTCCCACTTCCATTCTAAGCCCGATGATAAATACCCAGTAAAGGAAAGATGTGTATACTCACCTTATCTAAAGGCGCTCCGGTTCGGTCACAAGATTGGCTCCCAATGCCAGCTTCAGGGAAGAGGAGGGACGGCAGACAACGAATGCCCCATAGAAAGTATATGAGTGTTGTCAACACACAGGCTCTGCAGCCCTGGTCACTGCTCTCCCCCTGAAACCATCCACTGGGAAGAGCACATGACCAGACCAGAGCACCCTTAGATTAGGTAAGTATACACATTTTTCCTTTACAGGGTAGTTAGTATAGGGCTGAGAAGGGGGATAGGGACAGGTTTAAAGCTAAATTGGGTTTTGACTGGGCTTCCACTTTAACATCAGCTGTCAATGTTGGTGAGTTTTTCCTTGATGTGTAATTTTTATTGAAAAATAAGAAAGCCTTTGTACACGGTTTGCACACATTAGGTCAAGTGGTGTTACGAACATCACCATTATAATTGAACAAGCAAACAATTTAATTGACCTAAGGGAAAAATAAAGGTTACCATCTATCAAGGAGATAGCACAGCAGAGAAAAAACAGTAGATATACAAAAGTGGAAAGCATCACACAACCTAACATTAGCCCATATAAACAACACATCATAAAGTAGAAGGATACAAAGCTGTATCCTATGAATCAGTCTTGCATCATAATCTAGATTGGTGAGTTTTAAATAAAGGTTTACCATACATTTCTGTCAACCTCTTGTTACCTTATGATACTTATAGTAACATCATAGATTAGTTTTTGAGGCTTGATAAAACGCAACACATTTGTACTGTTCTTGAACACTGTACAGTATGTTCAAGGATAAGTTCACCTTTCCAGAAGAATTCCACTTTTCATAATAAATATAAGCATTTCCCAGTGCTATTTCTGGCCCAGCCATCCCAATGTGCTTTTCTCTCACTTCCCTTATCCGCAAGAGGTTTCATTTTTTTGTCAGTTTATTTGAATTTTTAATGGATTTTCAGATTCCACCATTTCCTGTAGATAATTTCTCAGCATTCACTTCCTAAAGGCAACCTCCCAGAAGCCTTCACTTCCTTGCTGCATCATAGAAAAAGGGTGTGATAGAGTCTGGACCCCGGGTCTCCCTCATTACAATAATACTATCTTTCACCAACTTCCTATACAAACTAATTGTACGATCTTCTTTAGATCTCTCCATCAGTACAAGGGCCTGTCTAAAATTGATACAGATTGAATGGATTGTTCAGGTGTGTCCTCCTATTCCATAGTTCTGATAAATCTAAAGGAAATTGTACAGAGATTGTACAATCAGATTGCATACTGTATGGCCACCTTTATACAAGTACATAGGAGGGAGTGAACAGAGACACTCAGTTGTCAGGCCTCAGTCACAACTCCACATAGCAAAAACTCACATTCCTGCAGGTGTTTGTTTTGGCCGTTGTGGAGCGTTTTCACTCATCACACACAGGGCAGCCCATTCACTTGAATGGGCTGCCCTACATGCAGAAATGCAGCCAACTCAGAATGCAGCCCGAGCCCAATTGAAGGGACGCTAGGGTAGCCAGGCAAATGCATGTCTGTAGAGAAACCGGGGATGTTGTAAACAAAAAAAAAAATTTGATTAGTGAAGGGTGTGGGTTTTAATGAGGTCAGGGCAGGAGGTGTGTGCTAATGAGATCAGGTGGTAATCTGCTTCCTGGGTCTTAATGGCTCCTCTGTCCTAAATCTACATGCCAGCAATAGATGAAGCTCTCTAAGAAATACAGCAAGGGCTAAGGTAAGGCCTAGTTCTCAAAATCAAAGAGAGCTTGTAATTTTTTGCAACTGAGATTAATTAATGGTATAATGGTGCATAGGGGAGCTGGATTTTAGAAAAAAAAGAAAAAAGTGAATTTAGCCTTTAAAATAAAATAAAAAGTTCCAGTATGAGCCACTGGGTCTGACACTTAGTCTAGATGGCTAATAATAGCTTAGCCACTAAACAGGAACAAATATCCAAGGAATCTAGAGGGGGATTGCAAGCATAGTTGCAAGGTGATAGATGTCAACAGCCTCTAAAGGCAATCATATCACTACATGTACATTTACGGACTTAAAAGGAGCCTTTTAATCCACTATTTACCAGAGTTATGAAGGTGACGTTTGCTAAAGAATATATAAAGAACCTAAGAAACCACAGGAAATTAAACTATTGGCTGTACACTAGAAGACTTTTGTTCATAATATTTGTTCCTGAATTCCCTTGATTTTTGAATCATTAGCGGGGTCAAATCAATGTTTGTCTTCAACCGCAGCCGTGAGAAAATTAGAAAGAACAGGATGGCAAAATTTTTGCAAATGGACACACTGTTAGAAAACAGTGAATGTGGTTTTTGTTCAGGAGATTTCAGTTAATCAAAAACTGAAAGTTAAAAGCAAAGTCAAGATGTACTTTTGAACGACATTTGTCAAGCCATTGAATCTACTAGTGTCTGCCACCTTTATATGTGAGATTTAATGTTACATTTTAGGATAGCTGTATACATATTACTCACTTGTCCAGTCTTCTTCAAAGCAATACAGGAAATGAAACCCTACCATAACTAGGGCATGCAAGGAGATCAGAGCTATATACATCTGAAAAAACAAACACAATGTATTAGATAGGCAGAACTACAAATATATACACCTGTAGTGAAAACAGAAGAGAGAATAATGTGCATCCAATTAAAATTAACCTTCCATGCAGTTAATCATATGGTTAATCACTAGTGTTTCCTCCAGATTCTTGGGTTTGACAATGTCTTAATAACAAGTCAAGCTCAGGCATATTAAAATACTCCTGTCTACACTGGATCTTTCAGCCATGAGCTGACAGAAAATTCCAGCGTAAAAAAAATTTTTTTCTTGGTGTGTAATTACCCATATTTACATGTGTATGGTGTTTAGAAGCATATGCAAGTAGGCCAGGTAAAGGTGGTAGGTCACCTTTACCAGGCAGTCAAAACAACAAACATAAATAAACTACCATAATGCACAACAAACTAGAGATTAAATATTTTACATCAATAGAAGTACTATAATGATAGACTGTAATTAACATTTTGGTCTGCTTGGAAATTACTTAAAATAGATTTTTCTTCGTGCTTCTTCATGCCAGAAATGTATTTTTTTTTTTTTTTAATTTTCATTGAAGATATACACTATATTGCCAAAAGTATGGGACGCCTGCCTTTACAAGCACATTAACTATAATGGCATCCCAATCTTAGTCCGTAGGGTTCAATATTGAGTTGGCCCACCCTTTGCAGCTATAACAGCTTCAACTCTTCTGGGAAGACTGTCCACATGGTTTAGGAGTGTGTCTATGGGAATGTTTGACCATTCTTCCAGAGGCGCATTTGTGAAGTAAGGCACTGATGTCGGACGAGAAGGCCTGGCTCGCAGTCTCCACTCTAAATCATCCCAAAGGTATTCTATCGGGTTGCGGTTAGAACTGTGTGTGGGCCAGTAAATTTCCCTCCACCCCAAAACTCGCACATCCATATCTTTAGGGCCATCCCCAAACTGTTCCCACAAAGTTGGGAGCATGAAATTGTCCCAAATGTCTTGGTATGCTGATGCCTTAAAAGTTCCCTTCACTGGAACTAAGGGGCAAAACCCAACCCCTGAAAAACAACCCCACACCATAATTCCCCCTACATCAACCTTTACACTTGGCACAATGCAGTCAGGCAACTGCCGTTCTCGTGGCAATCGCCAAACCCAGACACATCTATTGGATTTCCAGACAGAGAAGCGCGATTCGTCACTCCAGAGAACACGTCTCCACTGCTCTAGAGTCCAGTGATGATGTGCTTTACACCACTGCATCCGACGCTTTGCATTGCACTTGGTGATGTAAGGCTTGGATGCAGCTGCTCAGCCATGGAAACCCATTCAATGAAGCTCTCTATGCACTGATGTTGTGCTAATCTGAAGGCCACATGAAGTTTGGAGGTCTTTAGCTATTGACTCTGCAGACAGTTGGTGACTTCTGTGCACTGTGCATGTCAGCATGCATTGACCACACTCTGTCATTTTATGTGGCCTACCACTTCGTGACTGAGTTGCTGTTGCTCCCACTTTGTTATAGTACCACTAACAGTTGACAGTGGAATATTTAGTAGCAAGGAAATTTCATGGATGGACTTATTGCACAGGTAGCAACCTATCGTGATACCACGCTTGAATTTACTGAGCTCCTCAGAGCAACCCATTCTTCCACAAATGTTTATAGAAGCAACCTGCATGCATAGGTGCTTGAGTTTATACACCTGTGACAATGGAGGTGTTTGGAACACCTGAATCCATTGGTGTCCCAATGGCTATTTCCTAGTAAAATACATTTTCTAGAAGTTGGTACATGCATGTACTTTCATGCATGCATGTTTATGTGCATTTATAAATGTTTTGCCTACATACATTTATGAGCTACAACCGAAACTGAGACTCTGATGCCAATACTCACAGTAAACAAGACAAAAAATTTCTGGTTGTTTTCTCCCACACAGTTGTTGACCCAAGGACAATGGTGATCCATTTTTCTAATGCATCTCTTGCAAACACTGGAAAAAGAAAAGAATATATAAGATTATTCTGGATGGACACAAACCTTATTGAGCATTGCTACAACACATTAGCAAATACTTTCAGCAGGGCCTGACATCTAAAACTCATTGGAAATGCTAAGCTGGAAATAAAAAGTAGCATAAGTAGTAATAAACAGTCTAGTATGAAAACATACCAGTACAGAATAATGGCTCTATAGCCTAAAAGTCTATAAATTACTATATCCTTTCTATATGTGTTTAGTGGGGACAGTATAAGAGATTTTAAAGCAGTATTAAACCCAAAACCAAAAATTTAATATATTGCACCTTACCAATCATTATGTGGTGGCTGCATCAGTTTTGTTTATTTGTTTTTTACCCTCTGTTTTCACCTGGTAATCCGGCCTCTTGTATTAGAGTGCCCCCACTCTGGATGAAAGAGCACAGGGGGGCAAGGCAGACAGCTGCATTGTCAGTCTGGAGGAGGGTAGTGTTAAATGTACTAGCAGATTTAAAAACTGTACCAAAATTGAAGCCAAACTCCAGCTCACACTTTATACAGCAAACAGTTGTTTTTTCCTTTTGTCATTAAGGTTCTATAACCTACACCACTGTAAGCACCCCTGCCCGTATTAAAATGGTCTGTCTCATCCATGTGAGCGGATACATTCTTCTGGAGAGCTTAAGCTTTTGAAAAACAATAGACTTGTTGGCCAGATCACCAGATTAAAAAAGAAGAAAGAAAGCCTGAAAAAAGAAAACTAATGGCCATCACATCTAAGAATTGGTAAAATGCAATATAATGTTTGCTCTTGAGTTAACTACCGCCTGCCACAATGTACAATATCTACATTAAACTGTAATAAGGCCTGTCAATTTGCAAAGAAAGTCTGACTCTCTAACTCCTTTATACTTACCTGCTGTGTGTAATCATTCTGCACAGAGCAGCCCAGATCCTCTTCTTTTTGGTTCCCCCCTTGCCACTCCCCATAAATGTAATAGGAATTCAAAAGGAGCTTGAAGCAAGTTGATGCAGCTTACAAGAAGGTCATATGCAAGCAAGAAAGTCACCTGCAGGTCAAATGCAGCTGTCAAACTTTAATTGGTCGCAAAAGCATCTAAAACTGACTTCAAATGCAAGTGGAATCCACCTGGAAAAAAATCATCTACACACAGCCTTACACTCAACCAGAGGTCTGCTAGCATGATAATGCAGAAACCTTTACCACTCTAAGATCCTGGGTGTAAAACTAAAAATGGTTCACCAAAGACCTTGTACCTCTCGCATCAGCTAGTAAGAGAGGCAGAGCTCTGCTGACTTCCACCATTCATTTTTCTACATGCATGTGATTGGGCATTCCACGCTAAGTAAATTTCCAGCGAATTCACTAAACCAGGGCTTGCCAAATTTGCGTTGACTCTAGGAGCCAGCTAAAAAAGTTTGGAGCCATTTTTTTTTTTTTTTTTTAGCGTAGCATGGGTTGTCAGCGCCCGGGGCAAGGCGAATTTTTGGAGAAAAGCTTCACGCGATGTGATTTGCTGCACGATAATCACAACAAAGCCGCACCACGTTTTAGGTGCCATTGAAAATAATGGCACCTGAACCTACGTTTTGCAATCACAGCGATTCTGGCACGATCCCAAAATACCCAGGTGTGAATGGGGCCACCCTGGTTCACACATATGCGATTATTGATACGTTTTCAAACTCACATATTCGCATGGCAGGCCAGATATTATGTGTTCCTATTGAGGTGGTGCACACAGATGTGATCCACACGCACTGTGTTTTGAGTGCCATTATGAAAAGGTTCCTATGCGAGTTCGTATCTGTGGATTACAGACTCGCAAATGATAGAGTAGAATGGCATGCAGAAATAAGTGGTCACATAGGATTGCAAATGACAGGCGTTTTTGCATTGAAGTTAATGGGAGGCGTTTTTGCATTGAAGCCAATGGAAAGTAATTTTGCATTGAAGTCAATGGGAGTCAGTGTGTGAATCCAGGCACCAGGACACCATTTCTAGTCATCATGGCTACCTGGTTCCTGGGATGTGTCAAACCCTGCAATAAACAATGGGATAATTTCCCTGCAAGGAGAAAATTCCTTTGCAATGTGAATAGCCTATTTGCATTGTGCAGTGTAATTGCTCTCTCAGCAGCTGACTGAATTAAGCATTTTAAACAAACACTGCACTCATAAATTTATTACGATAATAGGGTTACTATTAAAGTGGTTATAAACCTCAGATATGAAATCTGAACAAAAACATATCCCTCTACAGTGTTTGCTTGTTTCAATCCAGAGCACTAAGTGTAATTTCTGTCCACTGCCTCATTCCTATGCTATAAGCAGGAATCACTTCTGATGAACTTTTCTGACACCAAGAATAAAAATTGGATTTTTTTTCTATATACTTACCTGTAAAACCAATTTCTTAAAGTACATCACATCACTAGACACAGAGCAGGCTATTCATGACTATGTGGGTTATATGCCACCTATAGGTGAATGGGGACACTGGCCGGACGAATCAGAGAAGTCCTCCCTTATATAACCCCTCCTACACAGGAAGTACTTACATTTTTGTAGCAAGCAATGAAATTCCAGAAAGAGGGGTGGGACTGCTGTGTTCCGAGATGTACTCCAAGAAATGGAATTTACATGCAAGTATATAGAAAAATCCAATTTTCTTTATTGTAAATCACGGGACACAGAGCAGGCTATTTATGACTATTTGGTATGTCCCAAAGCAATAAGAAATTTTGAGTGACACCATGATAGGCACCACCAACAATCCCTACTCAGCCGTTCGTAATACGCTGTGGCTAAAGGCAGAGTCCTCTGCAGCTCTGACATTCATCGGGTAAAACCTTGTGAATATGTGAACCGAAGCCCATATAGCGGCCTTGCAAATCTGAGCAACTGACGCCTGATGGCAGATCGCCCAAGATGTCCCCACACTCCTGGTAAAGTGTGCTTTCACCCAAAGGATGGGGCCTTACCCTTCAAACCATAGGCTTGAATAATCAACTGGATGATCCAATGTGAAATTGTCACCTTGGATGCCGCCTGCCCTTCCTGGGCCCTTCAGGTAGCACAAAAAGAGCCTCCGACTTACTGGCCTGTGCCAACAATTTCAGGAAGACCCCTATAGTGTGTACCATATCCAAAGTATGCAAATATCTCTCTCTTGCTGACTGAGGCTTACGAAAGAATGAAGGCAGAAGAATGCCCTGATTAACATGAAAACTAGAAACCACTTTTGCTAAAAAAAAAAAAAAAAAAAAAAAAAAACGGCTGGAGGTCACAATACCACCTTATCCTGATGCAAAACCAGAAAAAGAGCTGCCAGTTCTGACACCCTTCTTGCGGAAGTGATTACACTAGTCCTGTTGACTTGGAAGGTTTTGTTTCTAGTGGCAATCTCCCTAATAGGTTCAAATGGTGGTTTCTGCAAAACTTCCAAGACCGAGTTCAGATTCCACAGACATAAAGGTAGTCTAACAGGTGGCGCTATATACATTACTCCTTGCAAAAAGGTACACACTAGAGAATGAGATGCAATAGGCCTTTGGAAAAAAATATCCAATGCGGAAACCTGGCCCTTAGTACAAACATCAAAATTATTTTCCAGACCTGATTAGTAAGGTCCTGTCATTTCTTCAATTACATATTTACATGGATGCTATTTCCAGACCTCACACCAGGAAATGTAAGCTTCCCAAGTTCTGTAATAAATGTTCCTAGAAACTACCTTTCTAGCGCTCAACAAATCGAGGATGACAGAACCCGATACTCCCCTATCCTTCAGGATCTGGGTCTCAATAGCCTTGCCGTCAAATTTAACAACTGTAAAGCTCGGTGCAATATAGGTCCTTGAGACAGCAGGTCTTGCTGAAAGGGCAGGGACCATGGCCCGCCTACTGCCAGCTTCACTATGTCTGCATACAAATGCCAATGTTCTGGGGCACAAACAGGACCAAAAACCTGATGCCAGATTGCCCACTCTTCAGGACTCAACTGTCTGCAACTGAGTTGATATGCCTGCCGATTCTCTACCCCTGGATAAACACCGCTGACAAATTTGGAACATATCTCTCTGCCCAGGTCAGAATGTAATTTACTTCCTCCTGAACCCTTCGGCTCTTGGTACCACCCTGGCAGTTTATGTATGCCACTGCTGTGGCATTGTCAGATGGAATCCTTACTGGCCAACCCTGAAGCCTGGATGTCCAATACCTAAGAGCCAGCCTCACTGCTTGGAGTTCCTGGAAATTGATAGGTAGAACCCTCTCTCATGGCAGCCATGTTCCCTAAACTGTGGCCTCCTCCAGGACAGCCCCCCAACCTGAGAGGCTTGCATCAGTGGCTACCAACTTCCCCACCACCGGACAAAAGGATTTCCCTCTCTCCAAATTCTGAGTCATCAACCACCAATTCAGGCTTTGCAGTACCTCGGGAGACAGAGACATATGGTAATCCAGGACCAGAACCTTCTTGTTCCAAACAGTCAGAATGTTCCTTTTCAGCAGTCTGGAGTGGAACTGTGCCTAGGGAATCGCCTCGAACGAGGACATCATCTGCCCCAGCAACCTCATACAGAGGCAAATTGAAGGATACCTCTTGGCTCTTAACTGCAGACCTCATTCCTCAGGGTGCAACGCTTCCTTGGAGGCAGAAAAACCTTTGCCTGAACCGTGTCTAGGACTATCCCCAAATACTCCTGGCTCTGTACTGGCTCAAAGGCTGACATCTCAACGTTGAGCACCCAGCCCAGCTGTTCCAGGATCTGCATCGTAAGGGCCACATCCTGCTTCAGACCTGGCACTGACCAACCTCTGAGCTAGAGATTGTCTAGATAACCTATGACCAAAACCCCCCTGAGTAGCTCCAACACAAGAGCAAGCATTTTGTGAAAACACGAGGAGCTGTGGCCAGCCCAAACAGTAATGTTATGAACTGGAAATGCCGAGCCCCTACTGCAAACTGCAGAAATCTTTGGTGATGAAAG